GCTATGAGAGCATGTTTGCCAACATATTCTAGAATTTTAATTTTAACAAAGATGTGTGGAATAGCACATATCAAAGTGGTCAAGTTGACGGGTAAGCTCAGACACTTCAACAGGTTTTTAGAATAACTGATAAAAATTCTAGTCAAGAGGATATCTAATAGTGATTTCCCTTTTTTTTTCCCTATTCAGTCACTGGCTTCAGGGACAAATTGGTCCACCAGCTGACTCAATGCAAGAAAAAGTGACTTCAGTTAATCAGAACAGTTGGAATAACATCAACTAACTACAACTACTGACAATCTAGGCTACAAAACCTTGGTATTAACTTGCAAAACTGAAATACCTGTGATCAACAGTAGCTCTTCCTTAATATGTAGCCTAATGACTTTCAATAAAATTTAGGTGCTTACTACTTTTTTCCAAGACACTCTGGTTCCCCAGGTGACCCTCACCCCCCAGCAATCTGCACTGCAAGGACTGCAGAAGACCTACTCTCTTCATGTCTTCCTCCTTTAGGAATCAAGCAATAGGGAAAAGAATTACCTAGAAAAAATGTCTCATCACCAGTCCCTCCATTTTCAATAATTCCCAGATTTAATGTCTTTTCCCTCCAGTAACACAAGCCCTCAAAAGAAGTATTTAGTTCTCTCTTACACTTGGTTCCTTCTCCACATCAATACTTCAAAATACTTTCGTACCTTCCAAATACTTCAGAACCAACCATCCATGCTGACTGCTGACAGAATACCTCGCTTCTTTTCTGACATATATCTCTGAACTAAGCAATTCTGCTGATCTTTTCTACTCTAATCTCTCTCCCCTACTCTGACTTGTTCCCCCTTGAACATAATACAAAGACATCATAAAGCACGTGGGTTTGAATTATTTATCCAGCTACCTTTGGAGTAGTCTTCTCTTACGACTGTGTTTTTCCTCTCCTACCAACTTCAAGTCAGTCAGAATTTGACTTATACTTGTTTAAGACTTTACTTTTTCTCACTTACATTAAAACAACTCTTCACATACTCAAAACTGATCACTTCCATTCTGCCCTCTCCCTGATGCTTATAGCTGAATACACCAATTTTTAATTGTGAATTCTCCAGCTGCAAACTTTCAGTGCACATTGCTAGCACCAGACTCATCTCCCCTCTCTCCATCACCATTGACAACAATTACCTACACCTGTAGTCTTTATCTCACTTGATTATTTTCTTCCATTCTAACAATTTGTGCCCTGCGTTTCTGAAAATCTGCATTTGCTTCTCTATTTCTGCTGCTAAAAGTCCACATTTAAGCCTAGGTAATTTCTCAGATTACTACCATTGCTTTCTTCTGCTCTTAATTTTTTTTTTTTTTAAATCCCACAGTTCCTCTCATGAATGAAATTTTACATTCACTTATTGACAATGCATTTTTTGTTTCATTTGAATTGCTTCCCAGTTCCTCCAGCATCACTTCTAAACAAGCCTCCCTGGCCATGAAAGCTCTGCAGAACTTGGCTCAGTCTCTCATTCATACTTCCTGCATCTGAACCTCTTTCTGTGAGATAGTATCTTCATTTAATCATCTTTCTCTCCCTCATTTGGCACTTCTCAGACGTGAAATGTACTCTGAAACATTACAAACCAATGCCTTCAAAAAAAGAAATCTTTCTTTAAGAACACGGTACTCTCAGAGCTACTCCATATTTAATTGACGAAACATTAAATTAACTGTTTGATCCTCTACATATTCATTAAATAGCCATTCCACTCTTTTTTCCCCTCAGATTATTTTTCAGCTTTGTTTTCTGGAAACATTTGCTCATCTGTTATCATGCAAGGTTTAAGGACTCAGATTTATCATAGAATTATCATAGATTTATCATAGAATTATAGAATTTCATCTATCTAAGATGAGTTGCTGAATTTGTTGGAATAAAAGAAGACTTCCTTCTTACTCTATCAAGAGACTTATGCCTATTTTCAAATATATCTTTCAGACTATCTACCACAATCTACTGAGACTAGAGACAGAAATCACATTAAAAAGATCTAATTAGTTTTATTCCCAATTCTCTCTGATATGAATATCTACAAATAACAGAGACACTTGTTGATGGCACTTGGTGCTGCGAGTCACCAAGTACAAATTAAAATAAAAATGAAACATTCATAGAAATACTCCTAGACATGACTAAAAAAGAAGTGAAAGGAATTTTACTTTCTAGCATGCAAATTTTTTCCTGTGCATTAATGATTGAGGTTATAAAGACCAAACATGGTTTCCATCACTAGATGCCTCTTCCTAAGTGTAATTCTGAAGAATAATTCTAGTAAGGAATAAGCAGCCATGGGGTTATTTACCTTTAAGGTATGCCTGTGAGCTAAAAGGTATCTTAGCATATGTTGAACAAGACACTGTATTGCTGGCTGTAGAACTATTACTTCCTAGAAAAGTGTCAGGCAGTCTATTAGTCTTCGGAGCATCTACTGAAAAAGCCTTTGATTCATTTACTAATTAATTCATTTACCAATGAATCAAAAGCACAAATCACAACAGCATATTTATTTTACGCTCCAGGAAAAGACAAGGGAACAAATAACTTACTCTCAGCCCTTCCCATGCAAGAAATGCATTTGTTCTAATAGTAAGTCCCTTATCATGCTGAGTGCTTGTCTAACCTAAGATAATGTTAACTGAACTTCTTCAGCCAACAGAGCACTTTTTCTACAACAGTCTCCTGTCACTACAGTGAAGCATGGATGAAGCGATGACTGTAAAGGGAGTGCATAGCCTCAGGGAGAGAAGAAGAAGAGCCAAGATGCACATATTGCTTACTTCAAGTCCTACGTTTATTTATTTTTAAAACTAGAAAAGACAGTTTTATGGAAAAGTATGAGCCCTTACTAAAATATACCACTGGGAATACTAAAAGAAGGCTTAAATCATTACAGAGTACACAAAAGGGAAAAACTTGGATGAGCCCAGGGCTGACAAACTAATAAGAAAATTCAGCCACAAGCAGCAGAGGCTCTTGTTCTCTGCTTTGAGACAGAAAGAAAATTAGATCTGCCTGAGCAAGGGACAGATTTACAAAAATACTCCTCAGGAAAGTTTGACATAATACATTTTACTTTATATGGAGTCTAGCTGAGAGCACAAACACAATTCCTCAGTTTGACTCGGCTAACATACAGAATTTGCTATGCCAAGGAATAAGAATTCTTGCAGTCACGATGAAAATACTTTCATACACATGCCGCAGTAAAACTACCTGTACTGTATTATTCAACAGCCTTTTGTCAGTGAAGAGTTTCAAGATAAGAAAACAATATAAAGCCCATAACCCTAAGGAAAATAACATAGTTCCCTTCTTGACAGCGAGTCCTTAGTCTAGGTATTCCAAGCCTATTTTGATATTGCAGGCAATTGTTACTTCTCAAACAAGAAGAAAGAAATATTGGTTTAAAATCTACCTATCTACCCTACAGTGAAGCTGCTTCCTGAGGAACCTCTACATTGCATAATGGTCTGCAAAACATTATGCTACTTTCAAATACATCTGTAAGCCTACATGAAAGAAACTATACACAATTAAAGTCTTCTGTCATTCACAATTTGTATATATAAATGCACCTCAATTGCATGCTATATAAACCTCACGTCCCCATGTTAGAATCCGATCAACCGATATGGTAGCCAAGGGCTTTGCATTTATTAAGTTCAACTTCAATATAGACTTTGCTGTCTATTCTATCAGAGTCCTAGGGATCCATGAAAACTTATGCACTCATTCTCACAGTTACACCGTGCAGCAGGAAAGTGCCTGATATGACCAGTGGTCACAAAGAAGTTAATTCCAACACAGCATAGAGCTTTTGAAATCTTAGGCTTGCACATTAACAGCTGAGCTCATCTTTCTACTCTGTTACCTAGTCTGGCAGCAAAAAATAGATGGCTTGCTTCATTCCCTGAAAGCAGCAATGTTACAACTGTCAAAGGTTTTTGGCCAAATAAATAGAATTAAAGCTAAAAACTTGAGGCAATTTTAATGGATCAAAAGTTTCATCTAATTGTGAGAACTGATGATGAACACTTTCTTTCCAATTTTTCATTTCTAAAGAGATACATCTTTGTCTTCTCCTGCAAAAAACCACAGACGTTTGCAAACAACACCCCTAGACCTGAGGCCTGTTGTCCTTAGCAAGATGATGAACTGATCAGATACTAACTACATCCTTCTTTAAAACTTAACCTAAAATAATTTCATTTTGTGACAGACCTCTAGAATGTCATTACTTTCCAAAAGAACATACACTAGTTTCATGGCTTTAGGTGGCAATTGCCTAAATTTTCTAAAATTTATAAATTTGGAAATAAGATTTCCTTTCCTTCTTCTCTGCCCATCTAATTGAGTAACAGGCTTTTACTCAGCAAAATATTTCCAGCTTCTGCTGCATAAACTATTTTTCCAGTGTATCAGGTACTTAATTGTTGACCATCTAGTCTATCAGTTGCTGCACTTGCTAACTGAGCACTCTGCAGGGCTTCTTCTGCTCTGCTGTTGCAGCTCAGTGAGCTCCAGAACACCCTGATTACATGTCAGAATTGTACCAAGTTTAAAATAGAATACCACACAGATGCATCAAGATCTCTTAGTCATTCTCTTAACAGCTCTACCACACCATTAAGAACTAAAGAAACAAATGTGAATTAACTTATTTTAAGAATTCTCTATTAACATGACAAAAAGGATGGTCCTACTGATACCAACCTCCTCTTACATGAGAAGATCTTTGATACTGCAATTCTCTTTCACATAATGCATTACTTCATCCTCCGGGGAAAAAAAAAAAAAAGAAAACAACCTCTCACTTTAAACCACGTTACTGTGTAGTTTAAAAAACGATTTCTATAACATAACTCACCTAAGAGCTGCTGGTATTGCATGGCCTTTGTAAAAATTAATTTACATTTACCTAAATTTTTAGCATATGATACACTAAGGATTTTACCTGCCGCTTCTCTGAAGTGCAAAGAGGATGCCTTTCTCCTGAAAAGGAAGCAGATTCTTTCTCAGTCTTTCAGGTAGAAAGGACAGCTTCGCATCAACATTTTCTAAATAAGAAGCTTTAAGTGTAGGTGTTTCCTGGAATGTACTAGCCATGTTGAACCTAAGGGAAACAAAACCAAAAGAAGATGTCTTAGTCAAAAGACAGGTTTGCAATACAGAATAAAGCTTCATGGGACAATAGTAATCCACCTTGAAATATTCAATATCTGCACAACTTCTCTCAAAGCTTGAGAACTCTCCCTAGAAAGCATAAAATAATGCAGGTGATGGAGGAAGAGCCCACCGTCTCAGTATCAATAAAATATTCCACCCATTCCAGTATGAAGAGGTCAGCATGCTCAATGTTATGAAATCATTATTTAAGAAAGTTTCCTAGTCATAGATGAAAGTTATTAGCCATTCAAATAGACCTTACTTACAGATATCAAAATACAGCTACACCTCTTCTTGTAAACATTTTTCAGAAAAGTTACAGGGCAAAAAAGATTTGTTACCCTTCTGATGATGGAACTAACAGTTCTCCAGAATTTTTAATCCTAAAAATCAAATCAGGAAAAAAGAGTTTGGGAGAAGGAAAAGAAAGGAGGGGGAAAAACACGGAACTTTACTCCCCTCATAAAGAAACAATCTTGAACCACAAAATTAAGCAACAAAAATTCTCGTACTAAAACTGTAGATTCTTCAGTCATTTTTGTCCAGGGGGACAGGGTCAGAGAAGAAATACTAGCTTTTGTTCTCTTATAACTTCAATAGACTTTAAACAAAAAAATAAATGGTTAAAAAGCTCAGAGGTGGTCTGCTAACTAAACATGAAGGAAGCAACAAATCTTTACGTCAAAGCATGACCTAATTATTTTGTAATAGGATTACTTTAATGATCCTAGAAACAAAGAGTATCAGCTAAAATACACTTCCTGAATTGTTACCAGTAAATATCATGCTTCCAGGTTTGACAGCAAAATTCCAAATATGTCACACTCAGATTTGTTGACACTAATGTAGCTCTTCAGCAACTTGCAAGAAGTCAGATATGACTTGGTGGGATGAACCATTATACTCACAACAAGAAATGTGCTGAGCTAAATGGTCATTCACTTCAAGGATCTGCAGGACTAGGTAACCTGGTTTTTTTACACTGACTAGTGACAAAGATAAACTGGGGGACTATGTAAAGGATTAAAGTAATCAATATAATAAAGCATGATCATGCAAAACAGTCTGCAGTAGTTTCCTTCTATTGTCATGGAGTACAGATGAGGAGGTAAAACAGATTGATCCAGTTGAAACTATATGCCAAAGTGAAAGAATAGCACCTCTGCATTCCTAAAGAACTCCCTTTACTAAATTTTAGCTAGAAAACTTGAAGTACACTCATCCAGATGAAGGTATAGTCTCTTCAGTGAAGAGAATCTAGCTATAACTGCACTACTGCACTCTTATCTATCTATTTATACACAGCTTGAAGTTGAGAGAGCCTGGGCTTTGGTTCTAGCGCAACTATACAGACCTCTTCTAAGGCTCCATCTTCCGCAGGTCTACGTTGGACTAAAAGTGAGAAATCCTTCCAGTGGGATGAGAGGAGGGGTTCCCACTGGAAGTTTTTCAGGACGTGGGAAGGCCCCGGTGCCCGGGAGCCCCTCTCCATGGTGCTCAGCCCAGTGGCGGCCGGGGAGCCCCTGGCCGTGGTGCTGCAGGAGGAATGCAGATTCCGGGGACGGGGGTGGAATTCGCTGTCCCCCGGCTGCACACATTGCCCAGTAGGCCGGGTCTTGTCTTTCTTGACAGTTAATACTGTCTTAAAATCACGGAGATCCAAATGAAAGAAAGAAAGAAAAAGCTAAAGAATAGAGGACTACAGAACACTGTAAAAACAAGCTATTGGGAATTTGTCACTTCTGGAGAAAAAAAAAAGATTAACTGGAATTCTTGACAAAAATGTACTGGATAAAAAAAAAATCTCTAAAGCAAATTAAAAAATGGACCAAGCTCTTCCCTAAAAAAAAAGAAAAAAAACCCCTGATTGTTCTGAAAATCCAGTAAACTGCTGTAGAACCCTAAAAAAAAAAATGAGGATTTTGAAGCATCCTGTCACCAGCATCACCATCAGACTAATGGCATTAAGACAGACAGAAAAAGAGCAAGTGCTTTTTTTGGTTATATGATGAATTATAAGCATGACTATCAAGGTGCACGTCAGAGGCGTTCAGAGAATTGGAAAGAAAATGCTGCAGAGCTCAAGTTCCCCGAGACTGTCATTGTGAAAGTACTGAACAGGGTAACATTGGAAAAGTTCGGTGCTACCTTCCTGGGCATCTATCAGAACTTCCACAACAAAGTGGTGTGGAACCACAACTGTTTTGACATACCACATTCTGCTGGACAATCAGGGGGGGAAAAATGTGAATGTACATTTTCACTATTGAGCTACACTCAAATTTGAGGCTGAGGGTTGTATTCACCATTGTTACGGATTTTGTTCTATGTAGTATTAAATTACTTAGCTGCTGGAGAATCTATTTTAAGATGCATATTCTTAAAGAGGTATCCTTCGTCCCACATATAAAGTCCTAGAAATATTATTGCACATGGATGAAAACAATAACCCTAGCTGGAATCATAGATATCCTGGAACCTTGGTCTCAAAACCATGTAACTCAGGGGTATGAACAACTGGTGTTACTCACTGGATGAGTGTGATTCACAGAGCAGTAAGAATTCTAAGGCTGGTGAGAGGCTGCTGTGGTGCTTCCGATAACACAATCACAGAATCACAGAATGTTAGGGACTGGAAGGGACCTCGAAAGATCATCTAGTCCAATCCCCCCGCTGGAGCAGGAACACCTAGACGATGTTACACAGGAAGGCATCCAGGCGGGTTTTGAATGTCTCCAGAGAAGGAGACTCCACCACCTCCCTCGGCAGTCTGTTCCAGTGTTCTGTTACCCTTACTGAGAAGAAGTTTCTTCTCAAGGTATAGAAAGTTCATTTCTCATGTAAGTCTGGTACTATCAGCAGAAAGAGCTGATTACTCAAGGTGCTAACCTAACAAGAAACAAGTCCAGCACTGCTAAACCTGCTCCTGACACAGACTTCTGGCTAAAGACTTTCCAGAACATAACCTGTCCAAAGATAAAGAGGGATGTCTTCTGAATATCAATGAAATAGCCAGTTATAGAGAAAGGAAATTTGCATTTCTTTTGCAAACTAAGCACCCAGTGTCACTTAAGAGCAATTGCACTACTGACTACGGATTTTTCACACACCCATTTTTGTAAATGGAATCTTGCTCATATCTTTAAAGAAGCAATATTCTTGTACCTTGGGCCTCTTGAACATTCAACAGCAGACAAAAGTACTACGATCAATATCAAGGCTCTTTGACACACGTCTATCACTGAACTTCATTTAACAGAAGAAGGAAAGCCTCTAGCTTGCCCCGTATACCCAAGTGATGAATTTCACAGAAAAGAACTCCTGAAGGTCTGGTAAATACCCCCTTCATCTCTCAGTTGAGTAAACAAAAATGTTTCAGCTCTAAGTGTTGGGAAAGCAATAATGACAAGTTCAATAATGCTATCACAACATTTTCTACAGAGGTTTTTTTTTTTCCCTTGAGGGTTGATTATGGTACTTCAAAACTGCTGGCAAAAAATCAAACACTAAACATTTCTGTAGACCCAAACTTAAAGAAGTAACTGCAGGATTGGTGGACCCAACAAACCTGTTCAGCTCTCAGTTCTGTGATTCACCCCTAAAGAAAATTTCTGACTCATTTTCTTTGATAATTTTCTATAAAAACAGAAAATTATATACTTCTGATCAGCTTGCTATATAGCTTGTTTTGCATAATTAACTTTCTGTTGAACTAGATTATGGTAAGATTCTTTCACTGAAACATTGAACAAAACCCACACAGTTTCACAAGCATAAATCTGAACTCGAGAAGGCACGTGGTTCATCAGTACATGGCAATACTACCATAAAAAATGTTTCTGCATCAGTCACTGATAAAGTTAAAACTGACTTTGCAGATCTGTATTAAAAAGCAGTAACAACAATGAAGAAAGCACCAACTACTAGATATGTACAAGTTCTTGGGTTTTATTTTTCTCTAGGCAAATAATTAATTAAATAAATGACGAATGATTATAGAACAGGTGAATAATTAAAGAAGTCCACATGCAGTGAACAATGACTATTACAAAAACACATCCAATGGCCAGCACGAGCACAAGACAAGACAGCAATATGAATTGTGAACTCTTAAACCTTTCACACATTGCTCCTTGAAAAAAGCAAAGTAGTGTGCATAATCTCCTAATCACTGTGCATATTCTCCTAATTATAAACTTTATGCTCAAGCCCTTATCTACACTATTATTTTAATTTGAACTACACACTCTCAGAGATGGACTTTGTCATCAGTTGTGCATACATAATCTACCACTCTCACGCTTGATTACTGTTAAGTTTATGACAAGTAAAACAATACCTCCAGTGAAATATTTGATGCTTGAGATATGATTGCCTGAGAACATGCACTTCAGAATGAAGTTTTAAGAACCTGAATAACTGAAGTCCACTTTTTTTAAAAAACAAACACGTATTTCTTTCCCAAACCTTTTAAGTTTACTTCAATTACTGTAAACACGCACTTTTTAATGATCATACCAAGACTCATACCTGAAGATTCAAAGATCTGTCACTATTTCTGAATAAATGGCACTGATAAAAATCTATACTCTATTTCTCTACAAAGCGAAAGATTAGTGCACGTTTTCTCTAACTACCATTTTTCATTTGTTTCCATGTCCTTAACATGTTGTAATACGCATTCTATCAACCTGCCCATATTACAAGCTCTAGAACCTCAGCTTTCTCAGACAAAATAGACCTAAACAGTTTGGTGTGGAGACCTAACTTTTCACTCAGAGAATTCATTCAGCTACTTAAGTTTCATGAGTAAAAAACTCAAGAGGTCAAGGATGAAGTAGCTGTTTTACTAAAGTCAGTAATTTCTCATCTAAAATTTCTACAGTATCTCCAGACTAGCTAGCGGTAAATGATTCCAACTTTTAAAAGTGGGAATATGG